CTCTAAGTCAAATAACTTCATTTTTCTCAAATGACGAGAGCAAACTCTGCTGTACATTTCTATGGTGCTTACCCATGAATCCATTCTTGCTTTATGGAAATCATCAAGTATCTTTGCAAAGACTTACCTACTGTGTATGATTTAAAAAAAAAAAAGTCATTGACCTGAATATCCATCAACCAGAAATAGATTGACTGTTTTCCTACAACATCAGCTTTTAAAAAATATTTTATATTACTACTTGACATAGAAACTGTTTATAACTTTTCAATATGCACATATTGCATATATAACCCCTCTTTCAATAAAATATTTTCACAGAAGGAGGTCTAGATTTTAGCACAAATTCTTAACAGCAAATCACTAGTTTGCGACATTGTGAATGTTGATTTCTTTTTTCTTGTTTATCTGTATTTTTCTCCCTCTCTCTCTTTTTTTTTTTGCAAGAGTTATAAATCATTCTTGAGAGTCAGAAAAATAAACCCAAAAAAGTTTTTTAAAAACATTTCATGAGGCTGTTGCCTTTTTCTCTCAACCATCTTTATTCTTTGGTATCACAGTATGTTTTTGCATGTTTATCTTTGAATCTATCCTGAGAGGCAGAAGTCTAAACACATCCGAGAAAATAAATGATACCTTCTGAAACCCTTAATTTGCACATGCAGTGGAAGTCCCTGCTGTGGGTTTTCTTCCTACTCCTTCTCCTGTCCAGGGACATGGAGCCATAAATCATATCCACTAACAAGGCAGCACTTGGGGGCAAGTACAGAGTCATCTGTACTTGCAGGGCACTGTGGCGGGACCATCACTGACTTTCTTACGTGGGGGCCACTGATGATATTTTCATGACCCTTTTCCTGATGAGACAGTCATTTAAGATTTCTGAATATTCTTAAGAGGTCAAAGTCCACCCCTCTGGTAGTCTGTGCTTCAAAACTTATTTCCATTTTGACAAAAATAAAGACTTCAAAGAAAGAGAGAAAATGAGAAAGAGGAAAGAAACTTTTTTCTTTTCTTTTTTTTTTTAACATATTGGAAATGGTTTACACATTTTCTAAATGCCTTCTATCCTTTTAGAGAATGACGAATCCTGTGAGACTTTATGCTGAATATGACTAAATATTTTCTACAGTCTGAAGAATAGGGTAAAAGCAAAAACTGTAAGATGAAGTTGTGAGTATTAATGGGACTGAATGAGCTCACACAGCCAAGTAGGTAAGCACAGGTTCTGACATTGTTCAGATCTAGGATAAATGCTTCTTCTTCCATTATGAGCTGAGGACATGGGCAAGATAATAAATTTTAATTTCTGAGGCCTTTGATTCCTCATTTATAGAAACAAAGACAATGCTTATCTTGGATCAACAAATACAAAGAGTGGAATTTCTGGTGTCGATTTAATACAGTCATGCCTACTGATGCTATTGAATGGCTCTGGCAATGCAAAACAGAGTGGAGCCATCAAGGAGACAGTGAACTTCAAAGATTAGTAAAGGTGAGGAGTGGGCAGGTGCAGGTGGGGAGATGATGGCTAATTCTGCTGATAGGTCTTGAATTTACGGTGCCCAGGGAATGTGGGTATGAAAAAGTCCGAGACTCAGATGGGGCCTCAATGGATAAGCAGATTGTAGAAGTCCTTGCTCTCCATCTTGAATGCCAATCAGAACCAACCAGGTGTGTGTAAAATTCCTAGAGTTCTGATTTAATTGCTCTGGGATAGCATCTGGCAATCAGTCTTTTTATTTTCATTCAGCCAACATTTCATTTGAACATTTTTTTACTCAACACACTTTTCATTTAAATAGATTAATTATTTTATTCATTATATTTTTATTGAGGTAAAATTCACGTAAGATAAAATTAAACATTTTAAAGTATAGAAATCCAATGGCATTTAGCATAATTACAATGCTGTGTACCCATCACCTACTTCTAATCCTGCCATACCTCATCATTCTCAAAAGGAAATCCTATACCCAATTAAGCAATGATTTCCATTCCTCCCACCCCAAGCCCCCAGCAACTACAAACCTGCTCTCTGGTTCTATGAATTTGCCTATTCTGAATATTTCATATAATGGAATCATACACTATGTGGTCTTTGTGTGTAAGTGTTTGTATGTATTTGTATGTGTGCATGCATGTGCATGTGAGACAGACTGGCTTCTTCCACTAAGCATGCTTTTGTGGTTTACCCATACTGTAGTATGTATCACTACTTCAATTCTTTTTATAATAATATTCCATTGCATGGATATACCATTTTTGTTTATCCATTCATGAAATCATGGACATCTGGGTTGTTCCCAATTTTGGGGTATGGTAAACAGAGTTGCTACTATGAATATGCACATACAAGTATTTATTTAAGGGCCTGTTTTTAATTAGTTGGAGTGTATACCTGGGAATGAAATTATTTGATCATAAGGTACTCTTATGTTTAACTTTTTGAGGACAATCTTTTTTTTTATAAGGTTCTACAGATGATTCTATATAAGCTGGTATTGAGAATCATTAATGTGTAAGGCAGATAAGGTCATAAAAACAGACAGAATGCACATATGGAGCAGGAAAAGGAGAGGATCAGAGGCTGCCAGAAAAAGAGGTTGTAAAGAAGACAGATAAATAGGGAGAAGAGAGGTGTCACAGAAAGAGAAGAAACTCCCTGGAGGGAAGAACCACCAATAGCAAATGCCAAAAGGAACCGAAAGAGTCTATTGCATAAGGCAAGATGGAAAGATGGAGCATGCTAGCCTCACTGAGGGTCAGACTTTAAGAGACAAGGGTATACATGAGATTCAAAGAAGGCCAATACCATAATCTCTAATTCACTATTTGTACTTAAAGGCAAAGACCAGATCTTGCCTATTCTTCTATGACATTCAGAAGGTACAACACAAATATCAAGTTCACAATCAAAATCCTCTTTGACAAATTAAACTTCAAAAAATAATGGGCAACATCCCTGTCTTATACAGTGGTAACTGCATAAGATTACCAATCAGTAACTACCCCACTGACTGTATTATGACTTTTATAGGATTCTATCTACATGGAAAATTTTTAAGTACCAAAATATATAGTTAGCAAAAATGTTTGATTCAAATTTCAGTAAACTACTTAACAGATTCTTGCATTGGTGCTTTTTCTACTGATTAAAGTATCACTTTAGTTTAAAGGTAGGTACCCATTTTTGTGTAACATTCACCATTTAAATTTGTTCTAATTAGCGGTACATGACAATAGAATACACTTTGACATATCATATATAAAGGGAGTGTAACTTCTAATTCTTCTGGTTGTACATGATGTAGAATCACACCGGTCATGTAGTCATATGTATTTATACACAGGGTAATAATGTCTGATTCATTCTACTATCCTTCTCCCCTTCCTTCATTCCCTTCTGCCTAATCCAAAGTGACTATTTAAGAGAATATGTAATTATTTTACAGAAGAGCTCTTTTCTGAAAAAATAAATTCTTTTTCCTTCTGTAATTAGAGAAAGGGGTAACTCCTACATGGCTACATTTTAAAGACAGAAAGGGAGAATTAAGACTGACCTCATGTTTGAAGCGACATATTAAAATTAGCTTAGGTTTAACTTCTTGATGAATGTGTACACATGAAATATATAAGTGCTCTCTTTAAGGCTTTTTATTTAAATCTGAAGTGTGAGATCAGCCAAGAAATATCTCAACAGCAGGAAAGTAGTGCAGCATCCTGGATTCTTCTCCTTTTCAATTAATGCTTCTATTTTGTAGACTGTCACAGTATTTAATTTGAAATTTCCCCTTTCTGTGCCAATTGCAGTTTGAACTCCTTCCTGCAATATCCTTAAGCATACAGCCGTATGTGACACACAAAGCACCGTGAAAACAGCTAAAGCAAGAAGGGGGAAAAAGATGTTTTTCTTTAGTATCGAGCACCTGGCAAGAAAAGAGCATGTTCCCGTAAAGCCTTAAGGCTTTCCTGGCTCTCCCCTGAGAATCCAAACGGACGCGTTCTGGTTTCCCTTTAAAAAAAAACTTTATAAGGTTTTAGCACGTTTGCCTTCAAGTCACAGGTCAGCAGACTTTTCCACGCTGTTTCTCACTGTTTCTGGTGCTGCTGCTCATTTCTAGCCACTGACAAGCCGCTCCCTTACCAACATGGCGGTTGGCAGGCAGACGTGACCTGCTCACCTGGACTCTAGGGTCAGCACAGTGACAACCTCCCGTGTTGAGGAATTCATAGAAATCAGGTGCCTGCCCCTGCCAGCGACTTCATGCCATAGACACAAAGGGAAAACCATGGGAAAAAAAGCTTCCCATCACCTCTCTCTACCCTTCTTGCCATCTGCATGTCCTTGGCCTTTGGTGGTCATTCATCTTTCTAGGAGTTTATTTTCTTTATGATTCTGGCTTTCAAGTCTCTATCAGAACTGGACCTCCACACAGCCAGGAGTCATGGAACGTAACAATGTCCCCCCTAAAAAGCCTTCCCAGGCTCCACGAAGGACCCATAAAGACCAGAGTTGAATCTTAACACAAAAATTGGTATCATCTGAACCCAACCAGAGTTCTTCATTGACCAAAAAAAAAAATATTTACTGAACATTAGGAAAAAGGCATCAGAGCCCCACAAGCCTTGGGAGTTAAGTTCACACATTCAGAACAAGGAGCCAAGTAGGTGGGACCCTGGTAACTTCTCATGCTGGCTTGAGGCAGATGTTTTCAATATTTCCCCTTGTTGAGAATAGGACCTAAACCTCTGAATCTTACTTCTTTTGTCTTCTCAGAAGGCAATAAAGAAAACAAAAACATAAAAGACACTGAAACTGCCTTCTGCAAAACCTGTGAACCAACAATTAAAGATGATCTTGTATTTTTGTTTTGCTTATTTTTTTTATATATGTAAAACTTGACACCTAGAACTCCCTCTTGCACCAATTTCTTCTACAGACACACAGGACGCAGGCATGTCAGGACATGAACTAGGCACAGCCTGCAAATTCCCACCTGCAGCATATGACCGCTTTACAAGACAGCGCCAAATCGAGGAAGCTTCTCCGGACTTCGAAGGAGAGGGCATACTTGAGGGTATGGCCATCGATGATTAGAGCCACATCATTTTCCTTGCCCAGCAAATCTCCAAGGTCTGTGCAATGTTGGGTGATGGCTGCCCGAGTGGCCTGAAAGAAGAATGGAGGGGATTATTGTTACTGTGCGTTTAGCATTGGCAAAACAGAATTCAAAGGCGATGACCTTGAAATGAGAACATGCCCGTTCTAATGTAAAATATAGAAACAGTTCAGAAATCCTAATATTAAAATTTGTTGGAATGCCCTCTAGAGATGGGCAAAAACTTGCTCATAGTGAGACCCATTTGATATTTACAGTAATCCACTCGACTTGGGATCTACAGCTGGTCTAGGGATCCAAACTCTTCTCCACTGGAACTTTGATTACTAAAGATTTAAGGACTGGCTTTCTCTCTTTACACTACACACATGTTATCTTTGGTGCCTCTAGAATAGGAAACTATATGAAACTATATGAACAAACATGTTTTTAGGGAAAAAGATAGCATTATTAGAACTCAAATGGCAAACTCTATAACATTAAACTGCCAAAACCTAACAAAACATTCCTACCAGCCAAAATTAGTACCCTGGTGTGGTGCTTGTTGTCACATGGAATTAAAGCATAGAAACATTATTAATATTGGGAAAAAAGACTGGCTCAAATATTAAAAATGCAATTTGAAGTTTATTGAAGTACAAAAGTCTGGTGAAATTATTGTCTAAACAATAATCTTTTGGTTATTAAGTTACATTTACATGCAATTTATCAAATAATAACATGCATTATGATCTTAAAGAAATATGTTTAACAACAGGAATCCTGCTCCCTCCAGTTCAGTTGAGGATCAGCTGTTATTGCCAAGTGAGAAACAGCTTCCATTGTCTTAATGTTCATTCTCCCAGAAAGACTTTTTTTTGGTACCAGGGATTGAACTCAGGGGCACTCAACCTCCGAGCCATAACCCCAGCTCTATTTTGCATTTTATTTAGAGATAGGGTCTCACTGAGTTGCTTAGCACCTCACCGTTGTTGAGGCTGGCTTTGAACTCGCCGTCCTCCTATCTCAGTCACTGGGATTACAGGCATGAGCCTCTGTACTTGGCCAAAATAAAGATGTATTTTGGAAGGACATTTTCTGAGCCCTGCACTGCACCCATGCAGCCTGAGATCTAGTCCCAACCTTCCACTTAGTACCTCTGTGGCCTTGGGTGGGGGAAGATACTAAACCTCTTTAAACTGCAACTACAACTTTCTCATGCATAAAATGGGGTTAAGAACACATTATGGCACTTTTGTTATGAATAAATGAGCTAATCAATGATAAGTACCTGGCACTGGACTTGGTATACAGTATACACTTAATAAAACCCATTTTCTCCTTAATATTCATTCATTAAGAATTTCCTATATTAAGTAAAAAACACATAGATTCTAATTCCAACAGTGAATAAATACAATCATTGATAATGCTTCATTAATGATGTAATTATAGACAAATAATAAACAGAATAATGCACCATGAGATAAAAGTCGTACTTTTATTAATAACGAAGACAAAACTGTATATTTGCATTGATAATTATGCATTTCTGATCTCAATAAGCATCCTGAAAATGTCTATATTCTCTTAATCCATGAAAACAGCCTGTTCTTTAGAATTTGTGTAGGGAGAAGAAAATTCCTTCCATTTAGGAAAATCTGAGTTTGACACCTAGGTGTGTTCCCTGGGGAACTTGGACAGGTCTGGGCAGTGCTGCCAGCGGTCCACGCATGGAGGACTGAAAAAATCTCCTGAGAAATATGTCACCAAAGGGGTGAAACTCAGTAGGCAGATTTGTCACCCTGTAGGCAAGCAGACCTCAGGGCAGCCCAGTACTTTTTGCTTCTCTGGCCATCCCCGTGGTCCTCTACCTGAATCCAAACAGGGACGTCAAGGAACAGAAGTCCTTGAGTCACAGAGACCACTGCCTTCAGCTTGCTCTTGCACACGTGCTCTCTCTCGCTCTAGCTCTCTTTCTCCCTCTCCCCCTCCCTCTTATTTTAGAGAACACTGCATGAGCAGAGACATATAGAGTCCTATTAGAAAGTCACCTTTTATGCTTGGGGCTGCTGCTGGAGCACACTGGAGGACACAGTGGACACCAGCAGCCTTCCTTCCTTGGCTCTAGGAGGAGTGGGGAAGCCCCAGCTGTGAACCGCTGGCCCCTCACCCATATGAGTGAACAGGACTAGAACAGTAGGCATCACCAGAACAAGTCTGGGTACTGGGAAGATGACTGTCAGAGACGGGGTGCTAGAGCTTGAATGTGTCCCCAAAGTTCACAGGCTGTGACTTCATCCCTCACAAATGGACTATCATCGTAAGTGTGAGAGTGAGCTTGTTATAAAAGTCAGTCTAGCCCTTTCTTGCACACGTGTGTGCTTCCTCTCTGTCTCTCTGTCTGTCTGTCTGTCTCTCTATCTAATCCTCTCACCTTCTTTTGCCTTTCTACCCTGGCATGACACAACAAGAAAGCACTCATTAGATGTGGTCCCTCAGTCTTGGTCTTCTCAGCTTCCAGAACCACTCATCAAATAAACCTCACTGTTTGTAACTTACCTAGTCTGTGGTCTTCTGTTAACAGTCATACAAAACAGAAAAAGACACGGTAACTGAGAAAGCTATGTTCCTGAGAGGTGTGCAACCCACCACTCAAATGTGTAGGGGAAGGAGCTGAAAGAGAGCTGGAACTGGAGTGGGGTGCAGGGACGGACACAGAGAAACCCACCCAGCCACTCTTCCTGAAAGCCTTTACCGTCTCACAAGCAGCCACAGCCAGGGAACCACGGGTCCTACACCAAGGTGTGATATTTTCAGGTTGAACCACAAAAAGTGCACTCTAGTCCCCCCCGAAATCCCTATATCAAATCCATAATTCCCAATGAGATGGTTTTAGGAGGAGGGTCGTGAGGAGGTGGTTAGGTCATAGGGTGGAGCCCTCGTGCTGGGATTACGGTATCTTCTTCTCTCCCCAACCGAGACCCAGCAAGAAGACAGTCATCTGCAAAAAGCGACCTCACCTTGATCTTGACTTCCAAGCCCTCAGAATCATGAAGAATCAATTTCTATCAGTTAAACCACAGAGTCCCTGGAAATTTCACTGTAATAGCTGGAGCTCAGAAAAAAAAAAAAAAAGTCAAGCTCTTGAGCCCACTGGTCATGCAGCACTATTTTTGTTATTATGGGTACATAGAAAGGACACAACTTGGGATCACAGCAATGGGAGGATACACAGTAAGTGTTACAGCAGTGTTTACTGTCTGGACTGAGCCTTCTAGAACAATATGGTAAGTGCCATTATAGACACATGCATAAAGTCCCTGTCTTAGTTCCTTTTGTGCTGCTGTCACAGATTACCTGAGACTGGGAAATTTATAAAGAACACAGTTCATGGCTGTGGAGGCTGGAATGTTCAAGATCAGGGGGCCATGACTGATGAGGCTCTTCTTGATGGATTACCCCATGGCAGAAGGCCAAAGAGAGAGCAGGAGATCAAATGTGGAGCCCCAAGTTCTTCTATAATTGGATCAATGTGCGGAGTCCTCATGACCTAATCACCTCTCATTAGGCTTCACCTCCTGTGACTGCTGCATTAAGGACTGAGTTACCGACACACGGAACTTTAGGACACGTCCAAACCATCACAGCCAGGAATGCAGTGAGGACAGAAGGGCAGGACAAGGCCTCCTGTGCTGGGATCCACGTTAGAGGGAATGATCCCCCTGACCCCCTGGCTGAGTCAAATCACAAAGTGTCGATAAAGTAGCAGCCACCCTCTCCACTTGCAAATAGAAAGGCAAACTTTACTAAGTTATGCTAGAGTAATAAAAAAAATTGACATTTACATTCTGTTGAGCAGTGATTTCCTCACACAGTACACTAATAGTTTTCTCAGGCAAACAATTAATAAGCAGTCACATGCTAATTCAATTAAGTAGTTGCATGAGTCAGACCTATTTTAATCACCAACCAGGATATAGTTACTGGAGTAGCTACTAAGCTCCAGTGAAGATGGAAAAATGAATACTAAGCATGCATGTCTCATGTAGTCTACTCTTAAAAATCTAACAGAACAATCAATGTGACAAACACACAAAAATAAGGATGAAATAAAGCAAACATAATAATCTCCTATCTATCATCACCATTAGACCCTAGCCTGCTTTGGCTCATTTTTGTGGTTGGCTAGAATTACACTAAATTGTAAATTCGATGAAGGCAGAAACTCCCTTTGTCTGAATAAATGGACCAGCGAGTGAGAAGCCAGGAGGAAAGGGGGCAAGTACTGGGGAGTGATGTTGGCCATATTATATTGCTATACTATGTGCATGTGCAAAAATTAACAACAAATTCCACCATATGTACAACTACAACACACCAATACAAAATGCAGAGAGAGAGAGAAGATTAAAAAAAAAGAAGAAGAAGAAGAAAAGTCCTTTTGCCAACCTCTAATCACGTTAACCCATGGCAGATGCTCAATAAATATGTTGAACTTGCACATGAATTTATGTGTCGAAGTCTTGATTCTAAATACTGCCATGTAATATCTAGGAAAAATCATTTATGGGTCCTGAGGGCATCTTTTGACTTCCTTATGAACTACTTCACCTTCCTGGCATTTACTGCCTTACATTTTCCTTAAATGACTGATCAGTCTCACTGCTTACTCCTCATCTCTTGGCCTTTTTGCCCTCAGCTTCCTCTACTCCTAACTGACTTTTCATCCTCTTCTGTCTTCGCTTCAACTGCTCAGAATCCCACTTTTCCTTCAGAGACTGAAAACCTTTCCTAGCACTGAAGCCTCTGCAGATCTCTCCTCCCAGCTCCACCCTTGACTTGTCTCCAGCCTCTACTTTGGTTTTAATTCCTACACTTTCCATGCCCACTCAGCAATCATCTTTGATCAAACCCAGACTAGCCAGGTCCACCACACACGTGTGGAGGAATATAGGTCCCTTCTGTGCAGTTCTCCAGCAAGCCAATGGAAGGTATTACTATCACAAACAGTTCCTTATTCTCAAATGGACTATGATTCAAAAGTCTATTTGTAAGGTAGTTATTGGGC